ACCATCATACTTCACATTAGACAACTGTTCTATAGTGATATGTTACCAGTATTGCTCCATGCCTTAAATTTTGATGAGTGGAGATGTTTTTACATTCATTCAACCAAGTGGTGGTTCCCTAGAGGAAAAGTTCTGTGTTGCGTTGAAGCTGGTTGAAGAGACAGACGGTCTTGTTCGTAACTTAAGGAGATGACAGTAGAAATTTAAAACAAGAAAACTTTAAACGGCATTTTAAGAACAAGTGCATCAAGAAAGAGTAAGTTAGCTTTTAAGGCTTTTAAAACGAAATGGAAGAATGTTCGTATCAGAACACTTGAAGTAGCAGCTACTAGCTAGCATGTTGCATTTAACGAAATGGAGTGTTATTAAAAAGAATGACCAAAGTTTTATCGGACAGTTACAGGATAATATTGTGTTTCACATACAGCGGATAAAATCATTGATTACTGAATATCAATAACCGTTTATGAGCCCCTAATTTTTTGACTTGTTACCATATTAGCCCCTAAAGAGCTCCTAATTTCGCCCACTTTGCTGTGCAAGCTTGTCGGCTATGATATTCGTCTTGGATTAACATATTGTGGACATATTTAATAGTGTTACTATAATAGCAGACTTTATATTCGGTTTAAAATACGGTATAGTTAATGGCTTGTGGCATACAGCACAATTTATTGAACAATCCAGTATTAACATATATAAGCTTTATTAAAACCAAAGAAGTCACTTCTATGCTCGCGAACGGTTAATTTAGAAATTGGAAAGGGGTTGTTAAAGGTGTATGTTTGAAGCACTGCGCTGTACGGGTGCGAAACATGGACAGTAAGCGCGGCGGAAAAGAAAAGGTTAGAAGCATTCGAAATGTGCTGTTACAGGCGAATGATGAGGATACCGTTGATAGAGAAGGTTAGAAATGAAGAGGTATTAGAAAGAGTAAGAGAACAGAGGACTCTACGGAAGTCAATAAGAAATAGGCGAGATTGGTTAGTAGGACACCTTAAAGGCAGGAAAGTTTAGTTAGAGACATATTATAGGCAGAAACGGAAGTTAGCAGGGGTAGAGGTAGATCTAGATTAGATTACTGTTCGCAAATAGTTAAGGATATGGGTTGTTCTAGTTTTAGGGAAATGCTCAGGATAGGAAAGAGTGGAGATGCGTGTCCAACCAGTCTTAGGACTAACGACCTTACGATGATGATTAAACCAAACTGGTTATTTTAAAATTCTTCACAATTTACCAACAAATGATCTATTGTGTGTTAAGTTACACTTACACAGCCTTCTTATTCCTAAAGAAATGTCCTTTTTCCTTTTACCATTTCTTCGTTTTCTTCGTACCCATACCAATACTACCTCATCTATTTTACACTTCTTATACCTAAATTAAACCATCCTATCTACATTTTTTTCTCTCCTCTTTTACCGTATGTTCCAAAATCAATCAAAAGCATTCTTCGCAGTTCCATAGTCATATCATCTCTTATATAAACCTCCGCTCCCCTTAGCCTTCTACCATTTATAATTTCCTGCAGCTTATCTTCCCACTTGTCCATTCTTGCCCAAATACCTTCTTTTTAACATTCCTTCACAGACATCTTCAATCCTATCTTCTCTTTTATAACTCTTTCCAACTTACTCTTTTCCTTATTCTCCTACTCCAAAGATTACAAGGTTCTGTTCTTCCCCTCTTTTCTAGTTCCACTTCTAATCTCCTTATTCTTTTCTTCTGCTCCTCTGTAATTGCTTCTCTATCAACAGCTAATCTATTAGCGATTCCTTCACTTTTTCTTTTAATCTTTCCTTTCATGGTTTGAACCATTCCTTACCGCTTTCTTCGTTATATTTGTCCAATTTTTCTTCTACTTCCTTTACCTTTCCATTAGACTCTTTCTCCAGATGTTTCATTTTTTTCTTTATACTTATATTTTCTTTCTGAGTTTCATTTAGTTTCTTTTCTTCAATTTTTCCCATCTTCATTTTTCTTGCACCTCTTTTTTTTGTTCTTTTTTTATCACATTCTTTCCATTTTTTGGCTTTCTTCTTTTAATTTCTCTATCAATTTCATTAACACATCCAATTTGTCCATTTCACTCACAATTTTTTTTATTTTTTCTTTTCCACTTCTTTTCTTCTTCCGGACTGCTCGCTTTCGTTTTTTATTTACCTCCTCGTGTCTTTAGTCTCAACCAACTTTTTATTGGTCCTTTTCCTCCTTCTTTACTTCTACTATTTACTTCCATAAGTAGCACTGTTAAAAAAAACTACTGGTATGCAAGGGAAGAAAAAGTACGGAAAGATCGAATATAAAGATAGAAGACGAGAGATTAGAATAAGTGGCTGATTTTAGGTATCTAGGAAGTCAGATAGGTGAGGATAGAAGGAATAGTACGAATATAAAGCAGAGGATAGCGCAGGGTCGAGTCGAACACGATGTGATCTTGTCCCTATGTCGATAATATAAACGCTATTTTTCAATAATTTTATAGAACCTTCTTGATCTACATTTAATTCAAATCTATTTGTAATTTTATTCATCTTTAGTAGCTAGTTTTCCGAAATAATAATTGTCATGTGTTACATGTTGTAGGAACCTACATTCTATGTTATTTTCATCGTATTATAATTTATTGTTCATATTTTCATATGTTTTTCTCTGACCTAGACTGAGATAATACAAAGTTATACCGGGAACATTTCGGTCCTGTTCCAGCTGATGTATTTTTAAAACTCAGTTTTATAAAAACTTTCCAAAAAAAAAAAGCCAAATAATAAAGTGGTTGGAAGTTCTTACGAAACGTGGGTTTCCGCACTATAAAATACTCATTAAATATACGTTTCAAACTTTCGTATTGAAGAAGTTCATAAAACAAAATGTTTATCCCCGACAAACTGCGTATCCTTAAGCATTAAATTTATTTCTAGACACTGTATTCGCTTGTAAATAATGAAACATTTATTGTGAAGCCTGTACTGTTATATTGAGCATATATATTGCTTTCATTAAAACTTTATAATTTACTTTGCGGAGCTCAAAAGTTTCAGCCTGCTGAGGGTGGAATGAAAAATAAATAAATGAAACAACTTCTATATATCTGCGTACTTTCCATAAATAGCCTCTACTATCCGAACAAACTTTTACACAGAGCGCTAAAAAATTCTTTTTTCGTTTCGAGATAAAATTGATAATGCAAAGCTGTCTGCTTGTCACTAACAGTAACCGCTTATGTTAGCATTAGTAGCTGGCGGAATTAAATACGTAAATATTTTAATAGATACTTTTGTGAGGACAAATTTAATTCCGGCCCTGGTAAAGAAACACAACAATGCAAAACCGCATTCAATCAACTGGTAATTAACAGCGTCAGTGCTGTATTTATTTTGTATTATTTTTGCTCATGTATTGTTTATTATTTTTAAATATTGTAATGTTCGTGGGTTTAATAAAATTAACTTCTTAGACTGATAACAACAAAACTCTATTTATTTACACTAATTATTAAAGAACTCAAAAACTATTAAATTATTAGTAAACTTAGGTGATGAATTATTCTATTTATTTACACTTTTATGTTGATATATCACTATCCACTGCGCTATTTATTTCACTGCTATCACTGTCAATTTATTTCTCGATTCACCTCTGCAACGGTTAATTTATTTCTACTCTTCTCGGCGATCGTCTCTTTCTTTAAATACTCTTTTGTTTACTTTCTGAAACCTTGTGGAAACATCCGGATAGTTTATTTTTCCTTTGAACTGTTTAACTGCTTTCCCAGAACGTAGGTACGACACACATTTACAAATACGGCGCACATGAAGAAAGGCGCCAGCGGCTAGTCGACGAATCGATAAGCCGTCCACGCACACGTATGCCCGATCGCACACAAACACGCTCGTGCTCGCTACAATATGTTATAGTAATTTATAGTAGCCGTTTATTCTTTTAACGTTTAAACCTTGTATTTGGTCAATCGCTGTGAAGTGATTCAACAATTCAACATCAGTCATTAGAGTAGGTCAGTATGTCACTGTGGAACAGTTGTTACAATGATGATGGTAGGGCTATTGGTTACATGCCTTAATAAAATTGAAACTATCGAGATGATACTCATTTACCGATCAATATTAATCTTTTGAATTCTTAATACATGTTGAGATGTAATTTGCATAGTACTGCGTGCTGTCAGTGATGAACAAATGCACTTATATAAATTATTTTTATCGTAATAGGCGTCCAAATATTATGTATAGTAGTAAATTGTTTATGTTTATGTTAAACATTCAATAATCGGCACTGTTTACATTTTCCATCGATACAGTTTAATAGTTTTTTTCGCAACTCACTATCCTAGCTTTTCTCCATTTTTATTACTGTTGAAGAACATTAAATTCTTAGACTGTAATTTGTAGAGAAAATTTAATGTCCTTATTTAATTTGGTTGCATACTTGTCACATGTATTCGGTTTATCGAATAGAAGCCTTTGTAAGGAGTTGTAAGAATGTTGGCGAAAATTTGGGAGCTTAATAAATGTAACAACATCAGCCCATCGTTTTGCTCACAAGAATTTACCTACCGATACCCTCCATTTAATTGTATTTAATTATCTTTAACTTTGCAACTCTACAATTAGCAGAAAATATCATCTTCCTTATACGGAACAACTTCCATTTAATCGGTCATTTATCAAAACTGCCTACGACAGGCTGCAGAGAACTAATAAAGGAAAAGTTTAATGGTGTTTATTAATTGCCTATATATTATGAACTGCGTTGTGGATTTAGTTTGTCAAGTAGATGCCTTTGTAAGGCCTTTTTGAACATTTAAAAAAATTACTGTTACTAGCAAATACCACTAGATGGCGATATATTGCCTGTTGTCTGATATTTTAATATTTCTATTTTGCTTTCTATCTTATAAGAACACGAATATTAAGCTGTACAATCACACTTCTATAATGCCTATGCAACTTAATTAAAAAAAATTCTCTATATTTCTCTAGTACTCGGAAAGTTTTGCAGCGAATCTGGTAGACGCAAGGATGTTAGAACATCTTAGCAAGAAAGAATTAGAAAAATATTTGGGCGTCACAAGGAAGTTTCATCAGGCTTCGATTGTCCACGGCATTCACTTATTGCGAATAATTAAATACGACAGACAGGTAAGACATTTAACAACAATGATAATTACCTGTAGTAGCACCTACTATTACAATCCAATTTTTTATTGACTAAATTTAAAATAAATGACAATTTTAAAATGTTTTTAACAAACGTATGCTTGTTAACAATCATACCGCCCCAATTCATTTTATCTAGAAATATGTAATAGGATTAAAATAAGACACGAAAATGACCTTAAACCCCGAACCCTTATAATTTCACCATGTCTGGGTGTCCATTCTTATATTAAACCTTCGTACTTCTACTGTTTTAGTTTTTTATATGGTTGTGTTTGGTTTTTAAAAATAAATTTCATTTTCGTGTGCTACAGTTTGTGGATTGTCGTTAAAGATCTTTTCAAAAATTAATTAGGTAAACTTTCACCTAAGACTTTCCATTTTGAAACACTGCTAGCCTGAAACCTGAAAAGCCGTGTAGGATGTACCACGGACCAAGCAACTTATTCTTATAACTGTAAAATATTTCTTCATTGTTGTTTGTTTCAGGCCTTGGCGGTTAGAAGACATCAATGTGAAAATGTAGACGCCGATCCTTTAGTTTGGACAAACCAGCGGTTCATACGATGGGCCCGAAACATTGATTTGGGTGAATACGCCGACAATTTAAAAGGTACGAATTAAAACAAAAAATATTGTTGATATACAGCTTATAGGGTTCCGATATTTTCAGTGAAGTTAAAAGCATTTAATAGAATCAACTGCCTTTACAATAATATGCATAATTACGTAAATAAAATTAAAAAACTAAATAAAAATCGCTTTAAGCCAATATATTATATTTTCAATATGATTGATATGTAAATTACATAAGGCGTGTATAATTGTTAAATTTTGTTCTATAACGCTAAAGCACTTTTATCTACAATCAACTTTTTAAAACTTGTTCTGGAAAAACACATTGATGAACCTCTAGGCTAACCTCCTTTTCAACAATAGAAGATTGTAATGATTAAAGATGTGCAAGTGGTTTTTTAAAAGTATTTAAATACAAAATGCATATACTTTTTTAATTTGTTATGTCAAATGTAAAATACAAAATTAATAGATTTCCCTTTTGTATTTTAAATGCTACTTGCAAAATACGAATTTTCAAAATACTTTTTTTGTAGTACCTATTGAATTTTCCACATTTTCATAAGTATAAAATAGTCTTTAAGAAAACCATGCAGGAATTTGTTCATTTTTAAAATACTGGAGTTTTTCTAGACTAATAGTGGTGTTTGCACTATATCACCAGCTGCGAAGATTGAGTATGGTTCATATTTTTCTGTTTGAAGTGATTGAGATATAGTTTTTCTATCTGTATGTTATAGTTTCTTCAGTTCAGCAGCAAATAATTATTCTATATGCTTCCTTAATTGCNGAAATAAATTGATGTGACAATAATTTTATATTAAAATATTTACAATCCTATTTTGTTTTTGATCTTTTACACATTGTAATATGAGAAAGAAATGGAATCAATAGTTTCTTTAGCTTTGTGTTCATCTAATAAGTAAAGTATTTCGAATCGTTTTCTAAGAATTTTGGATTATACACATTTATTAGCGCACCATAATATCTTGTAATTTTCAGTTTTACACAGCTGGCGTATATCACTTCGTTATTGTTTTGCGGGCTGTTTTGTCGTAATTCATAGAATTTCGTGGGTAGTGATTTGGCAGGTGCTCACATCAATTGGAACTTCAAAATTCCATGTACCATGACATTGAACCCGGAAAACAATATCGATCCAATGTTTTAGATTATCCATTTCCAAGGAATTTAGAATTTTTTGGGCTGTCTTCAATTAAATAATTTGAAGGCATTCATGGAATGTATCATTGTCTTCTTCTTCTAATAACTTCAATGGCCAATATGAGCAACTTTCATTCATCATTTTATATAAAAGAACTTTTAACGGCAAAAATGTATTTTGCATTTTACAAATAGAAAATACTAGTGTCCGACCGAAGGTTCGGTTTCGGTCGAGTTTCGGCAAAAAAACGAGTTTCGGTTTGGTTTCGGTTTCGGTGGCAAACCTGCCGAAACTACGACCGAAACCGAAACTGCGTTCGGGAGTTCTCGCGCTCTGGTCGGTCATGTTCGGCGCGTTAAATTCCATCCAAGCGAAGTATACTATACTTACTCAAATAAACATCTCACCTATTTTAAGTATTTTTAAGGCGCAATTAAAGTATTTCCTTAAATGAGGGGTTGTTATGTTGATTTTGATTTGATTATCAATAAGTGAAAATGTCAAAGACTGCAGAGCTATGTGATTTAAGGATAAAAAAATAAAACTGACTGATTATAGTAACGTTTTCTAAATTTTTCTCTCAAAACATGATCCTTATAAGGAAGTTTCGGTTTCGGTTTCGGTTTCGGCCGAAACTGAGACCGTTGCCGAAATGCGGTTTCGGTCGTAAAAACCAGTTTCGGTCGGACACTAGAAAATACGTTTGGAAAAGTATTTTAAATAAAATACAAAATGCTTTTCTCAAAAAAAGTATTTAAATGCAAGATAAAAATAGGTATTTTTTATTTTTTATTTACATTTTAAATGCAACTATTTCAAATAAATCACGTCTCTGGCAATGATCAAAGCACAGTCAAAATGTGATAACACTTAGCTCCGTGCTTTAAAAATTTTTATATTTTTACGTTAAAGAAATCTGCCGTCTTTATAATTCTACATTCATTTCCGCGAAGCATGAGGTTTATCTCCCTAGTTCCGACGTCAGCATGAAGTTAATCCTTTGTTCCAGATAGCGGAGTTCACGGAGGATTAGTCGTTCTGGAACCCTCTTTCAACGGTGACACTATGGCCACCGCATTGGGAATACCCGCGAGCAAAAACATCATACGACGCCATCTGACAGCTGAACTGGAAGCGCTCATATTACCCGCTAGGTATGTTATTTTCTGCCAAATGGAAGAACTACAAGCTGAAGCTACTAGAGTGCTGTCGAAACACAGTAAATAATAAAACAATAACGCCACCATAAATAATAATTATCGGTGATCGTTATTCAACATTAATTGATGTTATTTGTATAAACATACGTATTTACTTACTAATATTAGCCCCTAAAGAGCTCCTAATTTCGCCCACTTTGCTGTGCAAGCTTGTCGGCTATGATATTCGTCTTGGATTAACATATTGTGGACATATTTAATAGTGTTACTATAATAGCAGACTTTATATTCGGTTTAAAATACGGTATAGTTAATGGCTTGTGGCATACAGCACAATTTATTGAACAATCCAGTATTAACATATATAAGCTTTATTAAAACCAAAGAAGTCACTTCTATGCTCGCGAACGGTTAATTTAGAAATTGGAAAGGGGTTGTTAAAGGTGTATGTTTGAAGCACTGCGCTGTACGGGTGCGAAACATGGACAGTAAGCGCGGCGGAAAAGAAAAGGTTAGAAGCATTCGAAATGTGCTGTTACAGGCGAATGATGAGGATACCGTTGATAGAGAAGGTTAGAAATGAAGAGGTATTAGAAAGAGTAAGAGAACAGAGGACTCTACGGAAGTCAATAAGAAATAGGCGAGATTGGTTAGTAGGACACCTTAAAGGCAGGAAAGTTTAGTTAGAGACATATTATAGGCAGAAACGGAAGTTAGCAGGGGTAGAGGTAGATCTAGATTAGATTACTGTTCGCAAATAGTTAAGGATATGGGTTGTTCTAGTTTTAGGGAAATGCTCAGGATAGGAAAGAGTGGAGATGCGTGTCCAACCAGTCTTAGGACTGACAACCTTATGATGATGATGTTTGGTTCCTAACATGTTTATACCTTAAAGTGCTATTGCAGATGGTTCGCTACAGTGATAGGCAGATGAAAATCTATTTTGTTAAAAGAAATTATAACAGATAGTATTCAGCAAATAAAGATGCACTTAAAAAGTAATTCAATAAATTCAGGTAGTACTAATAATTACGAAGTGGTGGTATTGGATTAAAAGTAAGAAATGAACCCGTATTTATGACATTTTCATCTTCCTTTATTGGAATTGAAATCGAGGTCCAGTCGGACATAATTTGGCGATGCCAAATGTAATGCTTCTAGGGCGTTTAACCATGTTCTAAATCAGATACTTCGTTAGGTCCTTCATTATATGCATGGGGGTGCTTACTTAAATAGCTTATTAGAAAGTGAGTCAAAAGCCTAACTGGGGTCCAAGTCAAGTACCTAACTTGGAGCATTATTGAATTCCAAGATGGGAATTTAGTTACATGCCGTAATGAGAATTTAGTCAGAGCTACTGGCAGATTTTAGAAGAGTAGGTATTAATTGTTATCCTGGCTATGCGTTAAATTAAATTTCTGATTTGATGTCAGGCATACAATTGGTATAATCTCATATAGATTGAACCAGCGGTAATCATGTAGATTAAAAGATATTTTTTTATTTTAACCCAAATTCACATTTACACCACCAGCAGCGCAAATTTTAGTAGAGTAAGGTCGGTGAATGTGGAATACCATTTTTTTAAAAATTATAAACAAGTTTATTAAACATACTTCTGTAATTTTTTTATTCACGGTAATATCTGTAGTCAGCTAGCTATTTGTTTTTCCCGTCTAGGCGACGTAGCACATAATCTATACCTTTTAACAGACGAAATAATCAAAGTCAACAAATTCTCAGATTGTTAAAATGGGTAGGTAAAGTGGAATAGTCCTATAAGGTAATGTGGAATAGGATATTACCATGGAATTAACACGCCACCATTTTCAGTAAATAATTTCACCTACAACGAGAAAAATATTTTATTTGGCTAACATTTTACATGATACAAAAAAAGAAGACTAAAAAAAACAGGTAATCATAATATCTACTGGCAGAAATCACAAATATAAACTTCTCTTTCATTTCCTGCACACACTTCATGGCACCAGCCACTACACATTATGCATTGTATCCAAACCTCTCCTCTTGTATCTTCAGAAAATTTACCTGCACAAAAAATACATTCGGCATCTTCATTGGGAGTTAGGGAGGGGAAAATGGAATTGGTTATGTGGAATAGTCCACAATAGCAAACCTATTGATATTCCACAATACCCACTTATAGACACGAAACTATGACCATATAGAAACTTGGATAAAGTTAATTTTATAGGGCTGTAATATCATACCTCACACTCTAAAACACTTATAGTAACTACACGCAGCACCACTATTTTTAAATCGGTCCAAACAAATGCGTAACAGTTAACAGTATCACTACCCTACAAAATGTCAGCCACCTGCGAAATCATTTCTGATTAAACACAACGTCACCTATAACAAACATAGGATTACATAACACATTACTTCGAAATACATTAAGAGTAGTACCTAATACAGCAACTAGAATGTAGATGACACTTCTAGTTTTAGTGCAAAAATGGTATTCCACATTACCTGACCTATTCCACATTCACCGACTTTACTCTACATTGAGGGGCATTCTTTCCCTTTTACTATTCCTTTTATAAATTTGTAAGAGAGAAACATTAATTTGCCGTTACTTTGATGTCAATTGGAAAGGTTTAAAATTCATTTGAAACTTCTTCCGTTTTCAACCATTATTTTTACGTGCTTTTGTTGTAAAACGTTAAATTAAATATGTAATTGTGCGTCGGTCTTTTAGCCGTTTGATGTCGACAAAAATTTAAATTACAAAAATGCTTTGTGCAATCCCATATAAATTCCTAAGATGAAACATTGAAACGAACGTAGCTATCCTGTTCTTTAATT